TAAACAAGTTAGATGACTTTATTTAAGTATCAACTAAAGTAGATTACCAAAGTCTTTTTTTTCTTTCTTTTGTAACCATGGCTCATTTTTAATTTGGTATCTTTTGTTCTTAGGCTCACAAAGTATACAATGATGCTAAAATGATAAATCTTTAAAATTTTTCAAAAAAAAAAAAAATAGTGGATTCAAACCTCTTTAAAATAGTCATAGTAAATTTTGAACAATTCTTACATTAGGAAACTCAGTTTCAAGAAACTTCACTTTGTTGACGATGCTTAGAAGTCTATCAGAATATTATTTAACAATTATCAAATTCAATACTTGTTTTCCTTTGACTTTCTCATTTCCTTGTACTCCTACTTAAAATTGTTAGGAAAAATAAAAACTAGTTGTTGGGTTTTTTCCTACAAATACGACAAGTATACCAGGTCTATTGCAACTAATAACCAGTAGAGTATCGGAATATCATCCTCAAAAAATAATTCAAAATGTATTAATTGTTAAGATAAAAATTAATTGAGCTTATATACAACAAAATTGATTGATGATTTTCATAAGATTTTGAGTAACAATTATAATGTAAAACGATAATGTAAAATATAGTAAAATTCAAATTAAAGAAACTGGGATTGAATTTGATCTATCTCCCTCTTTGTACTCTAGTAATTCAACAATAAACATAACAATCATTTCTAGTGAATTTGATGCAAAATACAAAAATCATATATCTCAATTCCTTGAAAATATATTTCTAAGATGATTTCTTAAATGTTGATCTCTCAAGCAATTAACAAATTATCCAACATTATAATCAGGATTTAAAAGTAATCAATAACTTGAAATCTATTCCTAGAGTAACCGGTTATCGAGTAATTTCAATCAGATCCGGATCTAAGTAATATCTTTCCAAATACAACTCATATCTAGGTTCAAGAAGCTATAAAATAGACAAATTCAAACATTAACACAAATTGAAATCACCAAATCAATAGAAATGAAGAAGAAACGGCTATATTTATATAAATTACTGAGAATACATCAAGTTTAAAGATTTACATTCAATCTCATACAAAGTTTAGTTGCTCATTGCAACCATAGTAACAAGAAATAAGATATAAACAAATAAAGTTTGAAGGTTCTTACTTTTTCAAATTTCTTCAACTTCGAGTGATGTATCTCTTCTGATTCTAACTACAAAATATATCAAAAAGGAATCAAAATACTTATATTTATATTTTTTTCTTAAAATATACAAGTAATTGCAAAAGGGGAATTTTAACCAAAAGGTCCAAACATTCAACATGAAAAATGCTCAAATCATCATTTAAAGTTACCCATTTTATACATTTAAAAACTATCCCTTGCTTGTCCTCAAACAAAGTAATTGAATGCACAAACATTTTTACAAGAAACCTTTGAAAATGGTTTGAGATGGAATTAATCATCATTGCTTTTTGTGTTCATCATAATGTTTCAAAAATTTTCAACTAAGGAGCATTGTTCATGATCAAGGATATTGCTTATCCGTTTAAAAGAATCAGAATGCTAGTGCATTTCATTTTTAAGAAAATAAGAGCAACAACATTCAATAATCAAAAGAAAAAGCCTCTCATTCTCACAAATTTAGTTTTTCTCTCACTTTCCTCACTGAATTCCTTATGTTTAGCTTTGCTTTTTACATCTCATCAAACTAAGTACACACAAACGATATGGATCATAGGGTCTTTCAAAGCGGTTGTAACATGGCTAGGCTTACAAATAAATCATTATTTTTTCTAGAATTCAAAGTGAGTTAGAGCATTAGTGCAATCAAGATTACCATTCGTTTGTTGGTTTCAATCTCTATTGTTCCTCACTCTAATTAACACCATATTTTTGTGGATCTTTGGATATTCCCCTATTTGGCTTTTTGGCTCTAGCTATAAACTGTATTTACAAGCTATGCCCTAATCATCTCCATGACTTATGCTGCTTAATAGCAATTAGAAACTCGAGCAAAGTTAACTAAAAAAATTCAGTGAAGTTTATTTACTTATTTACGGCACTCACACTTGCACTCTTTTGGCTAAAATCATTTTTCTTTGATTAACACAAATGAATTGCTCAAATTTTCTAATTAATTATTTCCATGCACAAGACATCCTAACTCTCTTTTACTTAAAACCTCAACTTGTCACATTCACAAAAACCATTTTTCTTTGATCTTTCAAACCAAATCCTAGATTCAGAACACTACCAATTTGAATATCTCCAAACCACATTCACCAAAATAAATGGTACTACTTTGAAAAACCAAGAAGTTTTTCAAAACATTTCCTAACAACTAACATTTGCATTTACTCCACATGACATTATACCTTAGCTAATTCTATACCATATAACTACCAATGCACTTATAACTTGCCAAAATATGCTTCAACCACTGATGATGCTATATATTCACAATATCCAAAATAAAAGTGCAACTCACGACTTAAACACATAGTCAAACACCACATAAACAACAGAAATAACAACACAAAATTATAAACATAAACATAAACTGAATATAAACATGTCCCTCAATTTTTTGTCTTTCTTTGAAAAATTCATCTCTGTATTCTTCCTCTTCCATATCAGCACTAATGTCTTCATCTCTATCTCTATTTCCATCTCTGGTGCCTTCATTAGTTGCTCCAGATGAGCCTACCCCTCCCTAAAATTATGGCATGTCCCTAGGCCACTGCTGAGAAGCTGCAAATTCCTCTAGACTCATATGAGACTTAAAACAATATTTACATAACCAGAATATTTACATCACATAAACAAAGATAAATCTCAGAGCAGTCTTCCCCATAACCAAATACTGAAGATCGGTCTTATTCATTACTCGCATCCCAACTCTCTATCTCGACTAAGTCTTCCAAATCCAGATCTTTGTCTGATCTGAAGTAGCGATTGCCTGAATCAGCTGTGACCTCTGTGCCAGTGACGCGCTCAAAGGTCCATCTAGACGGTCTTTCGAGATGGTCATGATCATGACAGGTGAATAGATAGGTGAGAGTTGCGGGAGTTCTAATGATACCTATATATATGGTCTAATGTATTCTATTCTTAGGAAAATCAAAAGAAATATTGAGAAAGAAATCCATCTTTGCCATAACAAAAGTCCTCGGCTCAGTCTCCACAAGGACAACAAATCTAAAATAACACAGTCTTTGATATTCATTGAATATATAATTGAGCCTATAATGTACTGATCTATCTATTAATCTAATTCTTTCCCGAGGCTCCGTTATTTTGGTTTCCTGAAAATTTTAGTAAAGATGAATGTCTATTCTATCCTTTACAAAAACATTTATCATAGAATCATAGTTTATAATGTAAATACAATACATTCAATTTCACAAATTCATATTACAAACATATTCACATCACACATCATTCAACAATTTATTACTCATTATTCGTTCTCTTATTCTAATATGCACTTCCAGTGCACTGTGATCACAGATATCGATGCCTCCAACATTTCTTGAGGTCTTACTTAACTAGGTAAATAGTCGCCGACTCTATACCCCATTATTCAACTAGGTCTTACTCATTATTCGTTCACATCACACAAATACAACATATACAATAATCGAGCCCCTTAACAAAGGCATAGTCAGGAGTCTAGTCAGAAAACGAGTGTGAGGTCATATGACGCATTCGCTCTCAGAAAGAGTGTGTACACATACGCAAATATCGCTCATCACTCTATGTTTCCCCCATATTTTCATCGTCTCCCGACTCTATACCCCAGGTGTATCTTGTAATTATTCACACTAGATTCAATACATATCCGACTCTTAAGTCATTCTCAGAATTATCTTTTTTCTCGTTCATAAGATCGTGCTTAGTAAAGCACTTCTAGAGTAAGTCCATTCCACTCAAATCCTTGTTATATCATTTCATATTCAGACATATTCCAAAAAGTCATAACATAATCACTCAGCAGGTTTCATAGTATTCCACATTAAGTACTTTTCATATAATGCATATAAGCATATACCAACCATTGAGCCTAAACAATCAATTAGTCCAAACAATCAAACAAAATTTTTTTTCCTTCCTTATTCACACAATAGCTGTCTCGATATATGCTCTAAGAGTACAAAATAAATATTGTAGTATAACGATAAAATAGAGCTCTCCTTACCTCAAAGATGCTTTCACAAAGAGATAATGAAAACGATCAACAATCAACTATGGAAGTTCTCCTGAATACTAAGAGATATCCATAAAAAATAAAAACAGGAAAAAAATCAGAGAAAATCAAGTTTAATCTGAAGAAACTTACTTAAAGTCGCTTAGCTTCAATGTCTAAGCTCAACTTTGAAGAGAAATTGGAGTTTCTGAGGCTTTTATCTAGCTAAAAAAAAGAGAGAGTTCAGAGAAAACTTGAGAGAGAGACGTGAGTTTAGAATGAAGTAAAATTTTCATGCTAAAAATCTCTTAAATACACCTCAGCCTTGCGCGCTCTCGCTTAAGTGAGGAACATCTTGCTTGAGCGACAACATCTCACCTGAGCGACGGGTATCTCACTTGAGCGAGATATGCTGACAGTGGTCTCGCCCACTATTTTCTGATAAGCTCGCTTAAGCGAGCTCCATCTCGCCCCTGAGCGAGATAATGTCCAGAGAGCAGAATCTTTCTCCTATGAGTCCTCACCTAAGCGACCTATCTCACCTAAGCAATATTACTCTCGCCTGGGTGAGGTGATAGTTGTGCTGCATTTATCTTATCTCGCTTGTGTCAGATTGCCTTGCAACAATGTATTTTTGTATGCTTAATCTCGCTTGGGCGAGATTTACCTCACTTAAGCGAAATATCCTGCACCAAACTCCTTCCAAAAATCCTCTATACTCTTATCTAAATGCACTCTAATATTGCTTAATATTTAACAAAACATAAATTATAGAAAATGAAAAGAGGATGTTACACTACTCTTACCTTTTTAGGAATTTCGCCCTCGAAATTCACTGATTGAAGAAGAGATGAGGATACGCTTCCTTCATTTTGTCTTTCGGTTCACAAGTGGTATCTCCTTCATCACTTGCGTTCCAGATCACCTTTACCAATGAAATATCTTTACCCCTTAGCTGTTTGATTCGATGATCCACAATCTTCACAAGGAAAACATCATATGACAAATTCTCGTGAACTTGGACAGGATCAAATTCAATTACATGAGAAAGGTCTAGAATGTATTTCCTCAATTGCGATACATGAAACAAAGGATGCAAATTGGACAGATTTGGGGGTAAGGCAATATGATAGGCTACAGGACCAACTTTACTCAGAACTTCGAATGGTCCAATGAATTTAGGAGATAGCTTTCGAGATTTCAATGCCCTACCAACTCCAGTAATGGGTGAGACTCTCCAAAACACATGATCGCCAACTTGAAATTCTAATGCCTTCTTTTGCTGATCATGGTAGCTCTTTTGTCTATCTTGGACAACCTTTATCTTTGCTCTAATCATCTTCACTTGATCATTTTGTTTCTATACTACATCAGGCGCATACAGAATTGTTTCTCCAACTTTGTACCAACATAGGGGAGTTTGACATCTTCTTCCGTATAATGCTTCATAGGGTGTCATTCTGATGCTTGCATGATAACTATTATTGTACGTGAATTCTACCAAAGATAGACATTCATCCCATATCCCTTGCTACACCAGCCCATTTGTTTGATGATGATATGATGAACTAAGCTTCATCTATAGAAACATTTCAATTTCGAACAAATTTTACAAGTTCAATCATAAAACTTATGCACAAAGAACCTAATAGACTTGTAAAAGCAATCATAATGGCTCTACCACTCTCACCACAACATGAACAATTCAACTTCTAGCCCCTAAGGTTCATGAGAACATCAAGATCATAGGGTTCAAGAAATTGTTAAAGAACCCTCAATTCCACTTTGGTACCCTTTTAATCAATGAATCACATTTTTAAAATCATAGGGTTCAAGGAAACTAGGTGAAACTATGCATATAGAACTATTACACTTATTTCTCATCAAAACGCCAAAAATATTCCTTCTAATTACCCTAGATCTACATTTCAAAACTTTAATTTCCAAAATAACCCAATTAGAAACCTAGGGTCCATGAAGAAATGTTGCCCTTATATCCCAAAACACCACAACCATCAATTTTCCTTTAATTTTAGTATCATATTATAACCCTACCTGTCAATGTTCCCCGTTTTAGGGTTCTAGGGTTTGAAAATCCACAAGGGAACCCATCACAAAAGGATTAATTACACACATCAACAACAAAACACACCTTTGCGTTTCAAAAATTAATTTCTAAAGAGTTTATATAGAAAAACCTAGGGTTCATTGTGCAGATTCTTGAGTGAGTGAGAGTGAAACATGAGTGATTTTTGGTGGAGAGGAGGATTTGAGAGCAATAAAGGAAGATGGCACATTTTATGTCTCTCGCTACAGTGACGCCTTCTCGCTGTAGTGAAAGGGCGATAGAATGCCACCTTTTTCTTTAAAGGTCTTTCTGTTACAGCGAGAGCCTTCTCGCTGTAGCAAGAAGATAACAATTTCACTCATTTTTCAGAAAGCTCTCTCACTACAGCAAGGACCTTCTTGCTGTAGCAAAAATATCAGAAACTTTTGTTCATTTTTGTCTAGTTTTTTAGCTGTAGCAAGAGGAGTCTTGCTACTGTGACAGTATTCTCGCTACAGCGAGGGTTGCCACACTACAGCACAGCTTTCTCGCTACAGCAAGAAGTGATCTTTCCTAGTAGCTTGATTGAGTTTTTTGTAGTCAATACACATTCTTCAGCCAATAACTGTTCTTGTTAGAATCAATTCATCCTTATCATTTCTGACCACAGTCATCCTTCCTTTCTTTGGGACTACCTGGACTGGACTAACCTAGACACTATCTGAGATAGGATAAATCATTCTTTCATCTAAAAATTTCATCACTTCCTTGTTCACCACCTCTTTCATGGTAGGATTCAGATGGCTCTGAGGTTGAGCTACTAGTTTGAAATCTGCTTCCATGTGAATTTTGTGCATTTAGTACTAGGGACTAATACCTTTAGGATCTGATAAAGTCTAACCTATAGCTCTTTTGTTTGCTTTCAATACTAAAATCAATTTTTCTTCATCTCTTTTTGACAATGCACTGCTAATCACTACTGGTTTTTTTTCCTTCATCTCCTAGAAACACATATTTAAGATGTGAAGGTAACATTTTCAACTTTAATTTCTACTCCTTTATCTTCTCTTCTTGAGATAAATTTTCATGGTGAGCTTCCTGTGGAAATAGTTCTTTAGAGGATTTTAAATTCTTCAAACAATCTTCAATCTCCTTTTTCTCCTCTTCATTTCAATATTGATAAGCTTTAATTAAAGCTTTTTCCAATGGACTGGACTTGTGCAATTGTTTCTTCTCCACCATGCATAACTCATAAATAACATCCATCTTAAAACATTGTTGTTTGTCTTTAGGATGGTGCATAGCTTCAAAGACATTAAAATTGACCTCTTCATCATGAACTCTCACCTTTAGTTTTCCATTATCCACATCAATAATTACTTTGGCAGTCTTCATGAAAGGCCTTCCTAAAATTATAAGGACTTTCATATCTTCTTCTATATCCACAATTACAAAATCAACTAAAAATACAAATTTATCCACCTTTATCAAGACATCCTTTGCTACACCATAAAGAAATTTCATAAATCTATCTTCTAGTTGCAAAGTCATTCTTGTAGGTTTAATCTCTAGCTCCCTAATCCTTTTTGATGTGGATAGTGGCATTAGGTTGATGCTTGCTCCTAGATCCAACAAAGCCTTTCCCACAGGCAATGCACCTATGGTCATTGGAATTGTGAAACTACTTGGATCATTTGTTTTTAGAGGCAAGGATTTTGAATTATTGCACTGCAACCTGTCTCTAATTCAACTATCTCCTCTAAGAATCTTCTTTTCTTTGTGAGCAACTCTTTCATGAATCTAGGATAGGTTGGCATCTACTCCATAGCCTCCATGAAGGGAATATTAATCTGCAATCTTTTAAAAATGTCCATGAATCTGGTAAATTATCTGTCATTGTCTTTCTTGGAACGAATCTTAGGATATAGTAAGTCTTTCAATTGTGAAAGCTCACCCTTATCCTTCCTTTTATCACTCTCATTTTTTCTTTTTCTTCTTTTACTTTCTTTTTCTCACTATATACAATTCTCTCATTATTTCTTTCAACTTCTTCCTCATTTCCACTCTTTTCTTTTTCACATTCTTTTCTCTCATTCTCTTCACTCTCCATCACCTCCTCTTCATTTACTAAATGATTACCAATCCCTCTTCCAATCTCCTTACCACTTCTTGTGGTAATTGATTTTAATGCTCCTTTGGGTTGGTTTGTGTGTTGGCAGAGAAATGTCCCGATGTTTGCTGCTTTAAAAGCTGTTTTGCCAACTGCCCCACTTGTGCCTCTAAATTTCTGATGGATGCATCAGTTCTTCTGGTTGGTCATTGACATCTGTATGAACTTCTCTAAGGTATCCTCCAGTTTGGATTATATTTCATGAAGCGAAGGAAAGTGTGGCTGTTTGATAAATGCTTTCTATACTTGGTCCTACATTGTAATTCATGAATGATAATTGAGATTTTTGAGTTATTCATTGAGAGAATTTATTATTAAGTCTATTTTATTTATATTTCAGGAAAAAGGATCAAGAAGTGAGAACTTAAAGGATATTGGGAATTGAAGCAAGAAAAGAACCAGAGATATACACGGGCAAGTACATGGCTATGTACATGAACGTGTATCTCACTGGTTGCATAAATCAAGCACATAATCAAAACAGAGATATACACGGGCAAGTACACGCCTGTGTATATGAGCGTATATCTAACTGGTCGCGTCAATTGAAGTGCATAATCAAAATCAGTGATGTACACGGTCAAAGTACATGGCCGTGTACTTCTTAGAAAAGCTGTGAAGGGCAATTCTTAGAGGCCAGAGATGTACACGGTCAAAGTACATGGCTGTATACATGGGCGTGTACTTTTTAAGAAAGTTATAAAGGGCAATTGTTAGATACCAGAAATGTACACGGTCAAAGTACATGGTTGTGTACATGGGCGTGTACTTTGAACGTGCGTCAGAATTTAAACTTCTGCGAGAAGATGAGTCCTTGGATGACTCATATAAAAGGGAACTTGGCACATAAACCTAAGGGAGGCAATTCTGGGGAAAGACGAAGTCGGTGACGGCTGGAGAATGAAATCAAGTTCTTTAATTCATCTCTTTTGTAATTTTATTTTCAAGATGTTTAGGTTCTAATTTACCTTCGAGTATCTAGACATAATGAATCCTATGTGACCAAATATTCTGAAATTCTTCTTAATGCTATTTCACGTTTTCTTCTCTTGGGTTTAATTGAGTAGTATCAATTATCTTCCATCTTGTTTTCTTGTTTGAATTTGAGTAAAATTCCTGCATGAAATTAACATTGCTCAATTAAAAAGACTTAATGTATTTCTAGAGATAGGAAGACGTAAGTTTTCTGTATTAGAAACAACCCTAATTATGGAATTCATATAACTTAATGCAACCTAGGGGTATTAATTAAGGGAGAGATTCTGATTAATCAACCGAGGGTTATGAATCATTATCCATGAGAAAGATATTGATTTAATTCAGAATTTTCTGCAGTGATAAAGGTTTAGAACTAAGTAGTTGAAGGAGAATTTTAGTTATTTAGACACTTAAAAGGATTTACAATCTAGATACTCGCCTATTTCCCCTGAATACCTTTAGTCATACTTTTCTATAATTTATTATCATAAGAAATCTATTCCTTTTAATTTATTATTCTTCTATTTTTAGCAATTTTATCAACAAAATTTATTTCTCATATTCATTAACAATTGCGCAATTAAGGAAGTAATTCTTAATAACAGTCCTTGTAGATACGACACTTGATACTCTATTTTTCATAATATTACTCTGACAATGGGTACACTTGCCCAGTAATCAGTTTTTACACACCACAGTTGTTGTTGTTGGTATGAAGGTTGGTGATGAAAAGGGGGTAGTCTGTTGGATGGTCCTGCTTCTTGTCTTCACCCATATCCTTGGTTTTGGTTCTGCCTTCAACCCTGTGAAAAATTATTAGAATAAGAATTAGTGTTAGGGTTAGAAAAGTTACCTCCACGAGGTGGGTTACTCAAATAATTCACTTCCTTATTTTCTAAATTGTGAGTTGGGTAAGCACAGTTGCCATTTAGATGATCTCTTCCACATAAATCATATTTAAGCACTTGGTTGGTTGTGGAGTAGACTGAATGAAGTTGTTGTAGTAGCTTGGTCATTTGTTTAGTGAGGGCTTCAATCTGTTGAGTCAAAATTTTATTTTGAGCAAGAATAACATATGATGTGCTCAAATCTAAGACTCTTCTTCTTTGCACTGCCCTTTTATTATGCTGAGCTTACTTATCAGTAGATGAAAGAGCATTAATTATTCTTGTGGCTTGCTCTGCATCTACTGTCATCATTGTTCCACCAACAGCAGCATCCAAAATTATTTTAGTGTCTGGCCGAAGACCATTGCAAAATATGTTCAACTAATCCACATCTTCAAATTCATTGTTAGGATATTTTCTAAGCGAAGACTAAAAACGTTCCCAAGCTTCATAGAATGTTTCCTCTTGACCTTATCTAAAAGTAGAGAAGTCTGATTTTGAACTAACATACTTGTAAGGTGGAAAGAATTTGGTGAGAAATTTCCTTTCCACTTCACTCCAACTTGTTAGGCTCTGATTTGGATGTGACTTCAAGCACTCCTTTGCTTCCTTAATCAGAGAGAATAGAAATAACTTCAGATATGTTGTCTCCTCCTCCTCCTCATCATCAAAACCCATAGTAGACACCAATATCAAAATGGGCATAAGGATCTTTATGGTCATTTCCTGAGAACTGGTGTGAACTAATCAAATTTAGAAAAGCAGGCTTAATTTCCATAGCCCTTGTAGTAGGTGGTACTACTATACTTGAATAATGCCTTGGACCTTGATGCATGGCATAATCACCTAAAGTTCTCCTTGGTGGTGGATTTGCTCTTGGTCCTGCATCTCCTCCATAATTTCCACCATTCCCATTGCCACCTTGGTTATCTTCTCTAGCATCAGTCATTTCTTCTTTTTCTGAGTCTGAGTGAATTTCCAGTGGTTGTGACGTTAAAGATACTCCTTTTTGTGCTTGCTTCTTTTTCTTCCTTGTTGTGCTATTATTTCTCCTGGATGTCCTTTCAATCTCTGGATCAAACAACAATTGATCTGCAGGGGCTTTTCCTCACAATATCATAAACACGAAACTTGAAACAAAAATTAGCAACAAAGAGTAATCAGATAAATGAAACTAAATAAAATTAATTACAATTACTCAATTAACTATACTTAAAAATTAATACAAATTGTACATTGCTCTCCAGCAACGGTGCCAAAAACTTGTTAAATTTTTTTCTTCAAACACGATAAGTGTACCAGGTCTATTACAAGTAATAACCGGTAGAGTACAAGAATATCGTCCTTAAAGAGTAATCCAAAATGTGTTAATTGTTAAGATAAAAATTAATTGAGCTTATATATAATAGAATTGATTGATGATTTTCATAAGATTTTTTTTTTTTATCTTCCTCTCTATACTATAGTAATTCAGTGATAAGCATAACAGTAATTTCCAGTGAATTTGATGTAAAATAAATCATATATCTCAATTCCTTGAAAATATATTTCTAAAATGATTTCTTAAATGTTGATCCCTCAAGCAGTTAACAAATCATCCAATATTATAATCAAGATTTAAAAGTAATTAATAACTTGAAATCTATTCCTAGTGTAACCAGTTATCGAGTAATTTCAATCAAATCTGGATCTAAGTAATATATTTCTAGATATAACTCAAATCTATGTTTAAGAAGCCTATCAAATAGACAGATTCAAACATTAACACGGATTGAAATCACCAAATCAATAGAAATGAAGAAGAAATAACTATATTTATATAAATTACTAAGAATACATCAAGTTTGAAGATTTATATTCAATCCCATACAAATTTTAGCTGCTCATTGCAACCATAGTAACAAGAAATAAGATACAAACGGTGTAGAACATCAAAACTTGAGTATTCCTACTCTTTTTTCTCTGCCACTCTCTCTCTCAAAAACAATATAATGGAATAGTAACTCCCTTGAGTAGCTCAAAAGTTGTGTTGTATACTGGTTTAGACGAAGCTTCTCTCGCTACAGTGATATTTTCTCGCTGTACCGAGACATGAAGATAAAAATTAGTTCATTTTGTTTGTCTTTTGCTACAACGATATGTCTCGCCACTGCGATACGAAGAACTCTCGCTACAACGATGAGTTGTCACTATAGCGCGAGGAGCACAAAATCGCTATAGCGAGGGTATCTCGCTACAACGAGATGTAGCGAAAAATCTCCTGAAACTGCTTTTTTTGCAACTTCATGCTTTATATGCCTTTTTTCTTACTTTTTAAAATTTCTTCAACTTTGAGTGATGTATCTCTTCTGATTCCAACTACAAAATATATTAAAAAGGAATCAACACACTTATATTTACATTCTTTTCTTAAAATATACAAATAATTGCAAAAGTTCCATGTTTAAGGAGAATTTTAACCAAAAGGTCTAAACATTCAACATGAAAAATGCTCAAATCATTATTTTAAATTATCCATTTTATACATTTATCACTAGCCAAGATTTTGCCTTTGATTTTGATTGTTTTCTCTCCTTATTAAACATGATTTGATTAAGCATTGAATTTTTTAGTAATGAAACTTCATAATCCTCGTGAGTAGTTCTTCAAAGATAACTTACTTTAAGAAAAGCCTTTATTCCAATTGTACATAAGTAATATATTTCTTACTCTAAAAAACTGGTAGTGTTATGACTAAGTAATATTACATTTTCAATTCTCAATATAAGTACTGGAGTGTTTAATGGAACTCTCAACCTTACCAAGTCCTTAAAAAATAAATAAAACTTTAATTACCAACTAATAATCATAACTGAAAATCATACTAAGAAATTTCAAACAAAAAAAATCATACTAACGCTTTGAAGAGACTATAAAAAATGAAAGTTAAAACTCATATTATCATTTACACAAACAACTTTTAAATATAAAAAAATTATAAATTAAAATTAATTTTAATTTTACTCATTAATTAAGAATAATTTACAAATAAAATTATTCATAATTAATTGTATAACATTCATGAAATTGTTGAACTTCTTTCTATACGCAATTTTAGAAGAGTATAGCATCGATCACTTTTTCACGGAAGACTATATGTATTGCTACTTCCAGGTGAGCCTCTCTCATAGGAATTGCTATTCACCTAAACTATTACTAACTGAAACCTAAGAACTTCTATAGAAATACAAATGAGAAGGCACTAATTTCTCCTAAATTGCGCTAACGGATTAGTCTCCACCCTGCCGTAGATTCACCTGTAAGTAAAAATAATTAGCTTTTAATAAATTAAATCTAGTTTTATTAAATACATTCCAATTGGATGCTTGAAATTTTTAAAAACACTAAATTTTTAAATCTAGTTTGTTTTGGGTATAGATCGTATCATTAGATCCCCTGTTTAAATGAAGCTTGACATAATTTTACTTTTTTAAAGTGAATCATCAATGTGTACACATATCCTTCGTAATTATAATTATAATAATGTATAGTATCTACTTTTTTATTGTTAAATATCTTGCATAATATTTGTATATTAAATGTGCGTTTGCAATCATTTATATTTATGGGAGTTCCCTAATGCCCCTCGGGCTATGTTTAGAATTAGAATCTAAATAAAGCTTGGAAAGATTTTAAATTAAATAAAGCAACATCAACATAACACATCAAAATAAAGTTACTCGTTATCAATATAACATTAATAATTCATAAAAATTGATTATTTAAATAAATTAAGTCTAGACTGTATAAATATAATATTAATAATTTGCGAATAGTTCACGCAAACATGCAACATTTACTTAAACTTAAATTTTAAGAAATTTATTTTAAATAAATGACCATAATTTTCTTTCAATGAAATTTATAATTACTTAACATGAATTATACATAAGATTATTGATCATAAAATTGGATAAAATGATTGTTTAAAAAAAGTGACAAACTTATAGACTCATTCAAAAAGAAAAAAGAAGAGGGTACATAAATAGAAAATAAAAATGTTAAACTAAAAAATATTATTATTTTCAATTTAAAACAATCTTACTTTATAAATAGGAATGGCAATGAATATGGTATCATAGTACCAATTTTTGCATTCATAGAAAATTACACATACATATATTTAATACATTCATTATTTTTTATTTCTTTTATTATTTTATTATGAATGTGTTTGAAAATATAACTTTTAAGCAAGTACCTATTTAATAAGTTCTTATTATATAATGACTTATAATACGAGCTTGTTTGTAAAAAATTATAAACGTTTTAAAGAAATGATTTCTTAATTTTAATAATCCTTTTGATATAATATATTAAATTTAATAATTTTAAACTTATTTTAATAAGTTTAATTATTAAATTAATCACACAAATTATCATTTAAAAACAATTATTTGATAATTAATATACTAAATATTTAAACAAAAACCGTATAAACCATCAAACTCCATGGAAGAGGAGAAAGAAAAGCTAGATTTGGTAAGTTATATGCTTAAACTGTTTGCAAACTAGATTCCTCTTATTGAAGTTAGTTACTGAAACAAAGAGAAGAAGCCACTTACTCGAAGTCATTCATCCATGTCATTCTCAAGGTTTAGGTATGCTCCCTCCTTCACCCGTCATTGAATTTGATAGGATTTTGGGATGCCTTGTTAAGACTAAGGATGGTTTGTCAATGAAATGATATTGAAAAGCATCGTGTTTATACCTAAAACATATTGATTGACATTTTGTGTAAGGATGGAGAAGTGAGAGAAGCTAAAAATGTGTTGGCTGTGAAGATAAAAGGTGTGAAACCTGGTGTTGTTACTTACAATACTTTAATAAATGGCTATTGCCTACTCAATGAAGTAAAGAATGGAAAACATGTATTCAATGCCATGATCCGAAGTGGTGTAATGCCTAATGTACAAAGCCACAGCATGTTGATTAATGGATTATGCAAGACTAAAAGGTGCATGAAGGTGTGAATCTCCATGAAGAAATGCATTGCAAAAGTATGCTTAATTCACCGATGCTTGGTGCAAATTAGGGAGAATTTCTTATGTCTGAAAGCTTATTAATGAGATGCGTGATAGGGTCAACGTGCTGATATTACCTACAATTCCTTAATGGGCAATTGCATTACTCAATAAGATTATAGACAAGGGCATTCATCCCAATGGGTACACTTGCACTATTTGTAATCGGTGGACTTTGCAATGGGGGAAGACTTAAAGGATGCACACGAGGTTTTTCAAGAGCTTTTGATTAACGGCTTTGTAAGGAGGGCATGTTTGATGAAGCATTGTCCTTACAGTCAAAAATGGAAGAGAATGGTTGCAGTGTATTGCTTTAGATCTATGACAGACACCCCATTTGCAGCCTATTGCTATATCACTGTGATAAAGACTCCTAACTTGTAATTATGAGTGGGCCTGCTAGTTAAAATAAATTTTCTATTTTTTGCATTCTCAATTTTT